CACCTGGGGAACACCTGGGGGGGACAACATGCACCTGGGGGGGATAAAATGTACCTGGGAGGGGGAGAAACGCAGGGGGGGACCCCAAAATGTAGGGGGGGGAGGGAGAAACACACCTGGGGACCCCAAAATGTACCTGGGAGGGGGAGAAACGCACCTGGGGGACCCTAAAATGTACCTGGGAGGGGGAGAAACACACCTGGATATTCAAAAACTCACCTGGGCAGGGGAGAAACACACCTGGGGGACCCCAAAATGTACCTGGGAGGGGGAGAAACACACCTGGGGACCACAAAATGTATTTGGGAGGGGGGGAAACACACCTGGGGGACCCCAAAATGTACCTGGGAGGGGGGGAAACACACCTGGGGGACCCCAAAATGTACCTGGGACGGGGAGAAACGCACCTGGATATTCAAAAACTCACCTGGGCAGGGGAGAAACACACCTGGGGACCGTAAAATGTACCTGGGAGGGGGAGAAACGCACCTGGGGGACCCCAAAATGTATTTGGGAGGGGGAGAAACACACCTGGGGACCCCAAAATGTATTTGGGAGGGGGAGAAACACACCTGGATATTCAAAAAGTCACCTGGGCAGGGGAGAAACACACCTGGGGGACCCCAAAATGTATATGGGGAACCCTAAAACTCACCTGGGCAGGGGAGAAACACACCTGGGGACCCCAAAATGTACCTGGGAGGGGGAGAAACACACCTGGATATTCAAAAACTCACCTGGGCGGGGGAGAAACACACCTGGGGACCCCAAAATGTACCTGGGAGGGGAAGAAACGCACCTGGGGACCCCAAAATGTACCTGGGAGGGGGAGAAACGCACCTGGGGACCCCAAAATGTACCTGGGAGGGGGAGAAACGCACCTGGGGACCCCAAAATGTACCTGGGAGGGGGAGAAATGCACCTGGGGACCCCAAAATGTACCTGGGAGGGGGAGAAACACACCTGGATATTCAAAAACTCACCTGGGGAGCCCCAAAACCACATCTGGGGGGACAAGAACACACCTGGGGAGCCCCAAAATACACCTGGGCAGGGCTGGAACGCACCTGGGAGCCCCAAACCCTCGTCCTGTGTCCACCCTGTGTCCATCTGACCACCCTGTGTCCATCTGTCCACCCATTGTCCACCCATTGTCCACCTAACGTCCATCTGTCCACCCAATGTCCACCCAACGTCCACCTGTCCACCCTGTGTCCGCCTGGCCACCCAATGTCCATCTGTCCACCCAATGTCCCCCTGTCCACCCAACGTCCACCTGTCCACCCAATGTCCACCCAACGTCCACCTGTCCAACATCCATCTGTCCACCCAATGTCCACCTGTCCACCCAACGTCCACCTGTCCACCCAACACCCACCTGTCCACCCAACATCTACTTGTCCACCCAATGTCCACCCAACGTCCACCTGACCAACGCCCACCTGTCCACCCAACATCCGCCTGTCCACGCAACGTCCACCCAACGTCCACTCGACCAATATCCACCTGTCCACCCAACGCCCACTTGTCCACCCTATGTCCACCCAATGTCCACCTGTCCACCCAACGTTCATCTGTTCACCCAATGTCCACCTGACCCAACGTCCACCTGTCCACCCAATGTGTGCCTGTCCACCCAATGTCCACCTGTCCACCCAACGTCCACCTGTCCACCCATTGTCCGCCTGTCCACCATCCACCCACCGACGTCCACCCAATGACGTCCACCTGTCCAACATCCACCTGTCCACCCAACGTTCACCTGTCCACCATCCACCTGTCCACCCAATGTCCCCCTGTCCAACACCCGCCTGTCCACCCAATGTCCACCCAATGTCCACCTGTCCACCCAATGTTCGTCTGTCCACCCATTGTCCATCTGCCCACCCAACGCCCACCCGTCCAACATCCACCTGTCCACCCACCATCCACCTGTCAACCATCCACCTGTCCACCATCCACCTGTCCACCCAATGTTTGTCTGTCCACCCAACGCCCACCTGTCCACCCAACGCCCACCTGTCCACCCAACGCCCACCCATCCAACATCCACCTGTCCACGCAATGTCCACCTGTCCACCCAATGTCCACCCAATGTCCACCTGTCCACCCAATGTTCGTCTGTCCACCCAACGCCCAGCTGTTCAACATCCACCTGTCCACCCAACGCCCACTTGTCCACCCAATGTCCACCCAACGCCCACCTGTCCACCCAACGCCCACCCATCCAACATCCACCTGTCCACGCAATGTCCACCTGTCCACCCAATGTCCACCCAACGCCCACCTGCCCACCCAACGTCCACCCAACGTCCACCCGACCAACATCCACCTGTCCACCCAATGCCCACCTGTCCACCCAACATCCACCCAACCTCCACCTGCCCACCCAACGCCCACCCGTCCACCATCCACCCACCGCCGCCCGCCCGCCCGACGTCCCCGTGTCCCGCCAGCCGCCGCTGGAGAGCCTGGCCACGGTGGAGGAGACGGTGGTGCGGGACAAGGCGGTGGAGTCGCTGCGGGCCGTGTCGCACGAGCACTCGCCGCCGGACCTCGAGGGTCACTTCGTGCCGCTGGTCAAGCGCCTGGCCGGCGGCGACTGGTTCACGTCGCGCACCTCGGCCTGCGGCCTCTTCAGCGTCTGCTACCCCCGCGTGTCCAGCCCCGTCAAGGCCGAGCTGCGCCAGTGAGTGACCGCTGACCGCTGGGGGGGTGGGGGGTGGGGGTGGGGTCAGTGGAGGGACCACAGGGTCAGTGGGGTGGGCGTGGGGTCAGTGGGGTGGGCGTGGGGTCACTGGAGTGACCACATGGTCAGTGGGGTGGGTGTGGGGTCAGTGGGGTGGGTGTGGGGTCAGTGGAGGGACCACAGGGTCATTGGAGTGACCACGGGGTCAGTGGGTGGGCGTGGGGTCATTGGGGTGGGTGTGGGGTCAGTGGGGTGACCACGGGGTCAATGGAGTGACCACATGGTCAGTGGGGTGGGTGTGGGGTCACTGGAGTGACCACGGGGTCATTGAGGTGGACGTTGGGTCAATGAGGTGGCCACAGGGTCATTGGAGTGACCACAGGGTCATTGGGGTGGGCCTGGGGTCACTGGAGTGCCCCCCAGGTGACGCAGGTGTGCCCCCAGGTGTCCCCAGGTGTCCCCCAGGTGTACCCAGGTGTCCCCAGGTGCCCCCCCAGGTGACGCAGGTGTGCCCCCAGGTGTACCCAGGTGTACTTGGGTGCCCCCCAGGTG